GAAAGAGTAAGGGTTCTTCTGTAGGTGTGATGTGATGGGGAGTTCGATTGAACCCGATAAAACAGAATGCGAAGGGTTCGATAAACAGGAGAAAGAGGATGGATTCGAATAAAGTGACGAAAAGATGGAGAAGAAAGCGAGAGCTTAAAAAGCGAAGTGGATATGGGTATTTGAAGAAGAACGAAGACGAAGAAGAATGCATCAACGGGAAGAAAGATGAGAAGAATGAGGGGGAGATGACAATTGTCTGCTTCCTCTGCCCTTTTATCTCCTTCCTATCCACACTCCCAAACATGTGTAAATATCAACAATAACTAATAAAAATTATATATAACAAATTAAAAAATAATTTGATTATAAATCAATTTGAATCAAATAATATATAATTAAAATTAAATGATCCGTAAAGTTTCTATAAAAACGAAAAAATAATTTTGAGCCGTATTGAATCAAATAAAAAATAATCCAAAAAATAAATATATTTTTAAAACCAAAATATTCGAATTTGAATATAATGATATAATGTAATCTAAACCCAAATCTCAAAATGATCCCCCTTAAGTGTTACCGAGAGAGACATTTAAGTAACAAAATCTTTTTTCATTATATAAATTTATATATTATTTGAACCGTATATGAATTCACACGTGTAATTTCAGTAACAATTATATATATATATACACACACGAATGCCGGGCCAAACAGACATGATGGACCCTTCTATTATCACTATGAATAAACTTTAAAAAAATAACATGTTTTTTTTAAATAGGTTACGCATGATTGAAGCAAGTGGAATTAAATGCCACTCTCAAATAATTTTTCATTTTTGGTTAAAGCACTCCCAAATAAAATTAATTATGTGTTTAATGATTATTAAAATTTCTCATCTATATTAAAAAAATATTCCCTCGATGAAGATGTATAAATGGATTTTCCACATTATCTTTTCGTAAAAAAAATAGAACTATAAAAAATGTTATTTAAGACAATTATAAAAGAAGACAGATCTTAATGACATCAACTAACAAAGGAAGCGTCAGATATTACGGCAGAGAGCCAACCAATGACCCAAACGAAAACTCTCCTCCCTCATCATGATATATATATATATATATTATATATATATATATATATATTATATGATATAAATATATACTCTGTCAAGCGATCATTTCACACGGCCACTACAGTTTGCTATTGGGTTTCTGACGTGGCAAGTCAGAACTCTCGTTGGATTCTACACACGTGTCAATATCTAAATGAGATGAATGAAACATCATGTTCAACATAAATAACGTAAACTTATATAAATTAATAAAAAAATATCTTATAAAAAAACAATAATAATTATAAACGATGAAATGGGGTTGTTCATCAAAAGCAATTCCAATGGTGTGGGTCCAATTTTCTTTTTTCTTTTTAAATTTCTTTTGGTTACATACAAAGTCGACGATATCTACCGTGGGAACTTTGCCAACCATGTAATATATATATATATATATATATATATAT